CCCATGGTTTTGCAGAGGACATGTTGAGTTGTACTTGGGGAACATTTCTTCCCTGGGAAGACTGAACTGCAGGAGTGCTGAGGAGACTGCGGCAGCTGGCCAGGGACTGGTCACTGCCATGGTCACCCTGGTCTCTGGCTCAGGACCAGCATAGGTGCATGTCAGTGGTATTCAAAAAGCTTCAGTAGAAAGTGTGGGGTTATTAGATTTTTTTTTTTTTTTTTAGGGCTAAAACTCAGTTGTAGCAATATAGTCCCCACTACAAGGTCCTGTTAACTCAGAGCTGGAGCAGAGCTGGGAATTCAAGGACAGGTATCTTTGCCCTTACATTTGAAATGCCCTAAAAACATCGCAAATAACTACAGTGAAGCAAGGCCCTTTGAGTATGGATCCTGCTCCCCTGCGCTTGCTATGCTCTCTATGCTAAATGAGACACTATTTTGTTAGGTGTTAAGATGGGGATGACTGAAGAAACAGAGTGAGTTTGGTGTTCCCCATCCCAGGAAACCAGGCTGGAGGCATACCCGAATGAACAAGAAGGGGCTGTAGTTTTTCTGCTGCATGTTTCCTGTTGTTCTTTCACAACACTATTCCTGGAACTGGGGTGACTTCAGTTGTGATACTAAGCAACAGCAAAAACTGAGCTCTCGCAGGGCTAGGAGTCAATGCGCTTTTGGGATCTTTACTGTTTCCCCTTGGCGTTCAGGCACCAGTTTTCATTTCCAGCTCCTTTGCTCAGCTGCGAGCCCTCCCTTTGCTACTGCAGAGCTGCTAGTGAGGGGGGCATCATCGGTTTTCTGAAAAAGAAAACCAGATGTGTGAGTTAACAAGTGGAAAAGGTAACGGTGCAGGCTTTGAAAATGGATCTTGTAATGTGGAGAAGGATAGGTTATATCTGGTAATGCTCCTAAACTCTGAGATGTTTGAGAAAGTTACTTTCATCCAAATGACAAAAAGGAAGAAAGAAGCATAGTTGTCAAAATAACGAGGGGGGGGGGAACCCAAACCACCCAAGTGTGAACAGTAATCGACCATTTGACAAACCATGTGAAGATAAAGCACTCTGTGGTCTGATTCTGCCTCTGCTCTCAGCTGAGTTCAGAGTTGACAGCATCTTGCTCCTTTCAAAATCAAGCTCAAGTGCAGGGTAGCACGGCTGCATCCATCTGTGCTGCTCAGGTGAGGCTGGGTCCACACCTATCGGCCTGCAGTGTGTCCTTGTGTCCCTCTTCCGCTCATCCCATCTCAGCAGGAAGCTGAAGGCAGAACAGATGCACAAGGAGCTTGAAACTTTGGCCCCAAGAGAGCCTCTGGGTTAGAGAGCTCAACCTGAGACATGCTGGTTTGGGGCCAAACCTGTCTTAAAGTTAACGGAGGGTTTTGAAAACAAAGATTGTAAGCTCCAAGGTCTTGGTGGGCCCTGGACTAGCAGGTTGGCTCCTTGGAAAAGTCAGAAGAAAGTTACTGCAAAGCACTTTCTCTGGTTTTCAAGGTGGTTTCTGGCTGGCTGCCTGCTGCCCAGGCACGGGACAAACCTGTCCATGACCCAGAAGATATCTGCCATCTCTGCTGCCTCCGTTAACATGTTTCTCTGAGACTATCTGCTGCTTCGTGTATAACTGGGTTTCAAATACATGAATGTTTCTAGGTTTTAAGACATGATTTAATAAAAAGAGATGTTTCTGGGAAAGCAGGTTTTCTCTCGCTTTTTTTCTGTTGTTCTCTGGCTGAGCTTATAGACCCAGGAAATGCCACTTGGCAGGTGCTTTGCTGTGCTGTCAGGTGAGGGAAATGCAGGCACTGGGCATCCCTGAACAGCAGCAGCAGGGGAAATGCTAAAAACTCAAGAGCAGAACTCCAGAGGTGCAAGAGGCTCAGATGCAGTTAAAAGGGGAGGAAGGTAAAAACTCCTGATGCGTTAAACAAGGTACCATCTGAGAGGTGCAGATCCAGTGATGGGGATAGTACAGAGTGATTCATGGTTCCAGCAGTATCTGTGGCTTAATGAGCATGGACTGGATTGCTAAGGAACTTGCAGAGCATTAAGCATTGTGCCTTTTCCTGGGAGGAAGGCCAATCTCTGAGCACCATCCTAGATACTGAGAAACAGAGCCCTGGAGAAATTCAAGGGAGGCTAAAGGCCTGATAATCCCTCTGAGGAAAACAGACCAGCTCCAAAATAAAGCACATCCCCAGGAGGGCAGAAGGCATCGAATTCCGGTAAACCACTTTCTTTGTCACAGGTCTGTTTGACTTAATTGCCAAGGTGAGCAGGTCTGGCTTGAATTCCCAGCTGCAATCTTCCCCTTTATCTCCAGTGCTGACAGTCACCTGCATGTTCATGTTCCATTAAATGTGGTAACTGCAGCCCCTCTGAGCAGGGGCAGAGATAAATGGGCTGAACAACTCTGTCACATAAGGCATTTTTCTTCAGTGCTGGGATCTCTCAGCCTTTGTTTGTGCATCCTCCCCATTTGGAGACATTCTTCTCCATGTGCCACCACCACAGCAGGGTGGGACATGCCGTATCCATCTCAGCAGTGTGACAGATGACAGAAATCACTTTTAATCCCTTACCACCAACTGCACAGCAAGCTTCTGGCCAGAGACCTGGCCACTGTTCTCCCTAAGGCCTTTGCAGCATCATTGGTGCCCAGCGTACCTGGTGGCCGGAAAGACAGTCTTTATTCTTTATCCTGGAACCCTTCCATGTTGGCACTGTCCTGTTTTTAAATCAGTGTTGTAGGGTACAAAGTCAAATTTGCTGCAGAAGCCCAGTTACAACAGATTATTTTTACCTATCATTTTTCTTCCCTCTCCCTTTGTGCTCTGTTACACATGGTGGTGATGGACACAAACCCAGAGTGGGAGCTGTGCAGGTGGAGTTTTGCTCTGCCCTGTAAAAGGGTGAGGAACTGAGATGTCTTGTGGGGGTTTAAGGTCAAATCATGCAGCTCCGAGTCCTGCTGGGACCTGTTCTTTCCCTGTTTCCTTGTCACCTGGCTGTACTTGGGCTTGTCCCAGCAGATCCTACTGTTGCCAGCCCTACCTCCCTCAAAAGCAGTATGTGCCATGTCTGGTACTGATGTGTCGTATATGCCACATCCCGTTGCCGGCTGCGCAGCCACATCAGCTGTGCCCTGGCACTGCTGCAACACTGGGAACTCCTGCCTGTGCTACACCATGGCACTCTGCCATCACACCCTCCGGGTCCTGTCCCCTGCCATTGTCACACCTGGGTTTTGTAATTGAGCATTCGTTTTTGTGCCAAAATATGAGTGCTGAGCAGCATTCCCGAGAGCCTCTTAGTAACAGCACTCAGGCACTCCTCCAGGGTTAACCATGGGTGTAAATAGTGACGCAGGGGATTAGCTCTAAAGCACTTGCTTGCCAGCCAAGTTTCAGTGTCCAGTCCTTAACGCTGTTTCACTGACTCAGCCTAGAAAAGGAACAGTTGACAGAAGCAATAGAAGGCTCTCAAATCTTGACTGGCAGGGGAGGAGATGAATAATGGCTGGATTTATTTTTTTGTTATAAAGGCAGGCGGGCATGCAGCAAAAGTACCAGATGTCAGGTTCAATCCCCACAAATGGAGGCGTTTTCTTTGCACCAGGTGCAGATAAACTGTGGGATTCATTATTTGAGGATTTATGGGCTTTACATGGGCTCAAAAGCCAACCAGACAAGACCACTAAAGAGAAATCCATTGAGATCTCCCGAGTACAAAGGCACATTGTTGGCTCTATACATGCCTGAGCCATGAGTCACCAGAGGCGGGGAAATGTCACTACCCGCTTGCCTAGTCTTTACCCTCAACCCTGGCACCCACTGTGGGCCCTGGCGAGGGCCACGATCGGGACGGTATGCCATGGACCTGTGCTTCAGCCATGTACAGCAGCTCATGTATAAACCTTAAATGACCCTTGTGTTATTTAAGCTGAATTGCAAAGAGCTGCCTCCTTCCATTCAGCTCTGGTTTGCCAGCTTGCAGCAGAGCAGCGCCTCAGAGCACACAGTACAGCTGGGCATCGCACGGCTCCCAGCACGCAGGCAGCTTTGGCAACAAAATACTATTTTCAGTAGTAGCGCTTCCAGGTATCATTTGAAGAAGGTGCAATTGCTCTGTCCTGGCTCAGGAGTGCAAAGGTAGAGCCTTATCAGCAGGATATAGTGCTCCTTCCTGTAAACACACCTGTGTTTTCAGCAGCCCGGCTGGAGCGGGGTGAAGTCGCTCACGTCGAAGCGGCTTGGCACACCGGGGTGCGGCTCCGCAGCTCCCGGCCAGGCTGGGACTGCGGCAAGTTCTGGCCAAAGGTTATTTACGTCACGGCGTGCCATGTCCCCTTCGCCTCCCGGGCTGAGGATTTTGGCACACAGCATTATTGGAGGTGTGGATAAGTCCTGAGCTGTCATGCGATCGTTTCCTGATTGCACAGACTTCCCAAAGAAACCTGCTGGTGGCTGATAACAGGCACTTTTCCCTGCGATTTTGTGCCCAACAAGCAGTCACTGCTGAAGAGTGAAGCCGGCAGGAAAAACGCTTTCCCGCTCTGCTGCCGTGTGCTGTGGAAACCCCCGCTTGTCTCCTCCAGAACTCTCCCTAAAACGCTCCTCTGGCTGGCCCGATGCGACACTCCTCCGGTGCCAGCAGCTTGCTCCTTGCCCACCATGGCTGCTCATGCCCAGACACCTGCTCTTCCTCAGACGGTGGCTGAGCTAGCGCTGGGCGGCCCCGAAAGGCGCTTTTCACTCCCTTCCTCCTCGGCTGGCGCCACGCGGGCCAGTCCAGGATGGGGGGAAAGAGCCAGACGAGGGTTTTTTGGGGCACGGTGGGTCACCACGTCTCCCGGCAGGCTGGAAACCCCGCAGGGCCTGCCCCCAGCCGCCTCCCAGCGCCGGGGTGGGGGGGCTCCCGTGTGCGAGGGGCGGGCAGTCCGGGCAGCAGGGACCCCGGCGGGTCACCAGCCCCGGGGACAGGGCTAGCCACGTCCCTGAACGCCATGTCAGGTAACGCGGCCCGTGCCGAAGCCCAGCTGCTCCCAGGCGGCCCCCGAGGGGCTCTCCCCGCCGGACGGCGGCTGCCACGGCCCCGCAGGGGCGGATCTCTTTTGC